GATGGCACCTAACAACAACAACAAGTTCCTGGATTTTAACTGCCAACCTTGTGGTTTGCAGTCTAGTAATAATAACTGCTAAGTTTATTGAGTTCTTTCTGTGTGCCAGGAATTATTTTAATCACTTTAATGTTTTGAATCATCTAATGTTCCATTATCCTTATAAAGTAAGTTCTATTATTTCTATTTTGAAATGAAGCAGAAACAATTTGAGAGTTTCAAACACAGTCATTCTGTGGAAGGGTTGTGATTGGAACACAGAGAGTGACTGTACAGACTTTCTTGTGGACAACTACACCACACAGCCTCTTAGCCTATCTGTGAGATTCTGGAATAGTACTCATTCTGTGCATTTCTATTGTCACTTGGTTCAGGATACAATTATTTTCTATTTGTTGACACTTAGAAAAATTGTTTAAGATGCAGAGTCTAAGACTATTTCTTATAAATGTAGTCTATTTTGCACTTATCACAAGAAGATCACAGAGGAGGTATATAAAACCTGCTTGACCGACTAAAGGCAAATCATGGAAAATATAAGAAAGAATATTTTCAAAAGGGTTGTATCAATTGTATCCCAAAAAATTTTACATGAGTGTCCCTACTTTCTCATACCCTGGTAAGATTGAGATCAGACTTTTTTTTCCTCCACCAAATGAAGGTATTGAAGTATAACCTCATTATTTTATTCACATTTTCCATTTTATGAGTAAGCTTAAAAAATGTTCATTTTATTAGTAAGCCTTATTACAATATACATAAAATAGGAAAATAAATCTTAACTGAAAACTGAATTTATATGCATTTTGAAGGAATATTACTAATACATGCTGCATTAAGACAGCAATCTTTTCTTATTGAACTGATCTGATATGAGCATCCTTTCTAATCACCAAAACAATTCTCTGCTTCAAATCTGTTTTGAAGCTTATCAGTGTTGATGCACAAGCTTCATTTAGATTAGTATTTACATAGTTCATCTTTTCCACCTTATCCATTACTTTCAAACTTTCTTTAAATTCAAAGTTGGTGTTGCTGTGCCTCAATTTACCCAGATGACCATGCGAGACTCTCAGGGTCAACCAGAAAGCCTTTATTAGCTGGCCAGCGACTACAGCCTCCTTAAAATTGGGAAAAACTGCAGCCCTGACCCAGTTTTTCAAAGAGTATTCATACATAGGCAGTCTGACATTATCTTGCACAAACCAAGGGCAAATGTTTTGTAAACACGATAAAGTTTTCCTTTAATTCAGTCAGGTAATTTAAACACTGTATTTGAAGTATTTAGTATTGTGTTAATGTGATCAGTGTTATGTTATTGTTGTTGCTAAGTGCTTTAGAGCAGGTTCCAATTTATAGTGACCTAAGGAGCAGCTGGTGAGCTTGAACCATGGACCCTGCAGTTCAACCTGACCTTGTAGTTTAGTGCATTAACCCACAGCACCACACCAGTTCATACTAGATATTATATATAAATCAACTCTATATTCTCCAAGTGATATCTTCCAGGATAGGACCTAACTTGTTACTATTAGACTCACTGTTTCATTTTAATTAGTAATTATTCTCCACCAAGGAATGAACTGAAGTGTTAGTAAAATGGAGATTGAGCCAGATTTACCCCTGTTAATCAGGCATATACTTTTGTTGCTTTTAAGAGAACCACGTAGATGTGTGTATATGGGCTTTTTTCCCCTTAAAAATTTTGAAATACTATGGACTATCCAGTCCTTATATTCAGAATTTTGCACATGAATTTGAGCTAGGCATTAGAGAAAATTGCATTAGATGTATAATAAGTGTATTCTGACTGATCAAATAAATGAATTTTAAAATCAATCTTCCCTTGTGTTCTGAATAAATTTAAGGAAAAGGAATATGGGCCTGTGACATGGTAGGATAAGCACTAGACTGCTAACCACAAGATCAGTGGTTCAAACCCATCAGCTGTTGCTCAGGAACCCTGTACAGGGTCACTATGAGTCCGAACTGACTGAACAGCACTTACCACCAAAAATAAGACATTTAAAATTAGATTTAAAAATAAAACTATGAGTGAGAGATTTTAAGAAATTTTATAAAACACTACAACTACTGAGTAACAGTAATTCTGAATTTTAAGGTCCTTGTGTGGCACTATAAGTACTGGACTGTGACTGTAAGGTCAGTGGTTCAAATCTACCAGCAACTACTTGGAAATCCTAGATGGGTTTCTGTTAGTCAGAACAACCTTGACAAGATTTAACAGCAACAACAATAGTTCTGATTTTTTTTTTTTTTTTTACCTGTTCCTTCTATAGTATATAACCTTTTCCAGATGCCACCCTTCTCTTCACCATGCATGTCTCAGATGAAAAGCATTGAACAAGGAAGGTTGTCATTGGATGGGGGTTGTGGTTTGTCTTGAGCATGTACATTTGTAGTACATGAGAGATTAAGAAAGCCAAAATGAATTAAAGATAACCTTCAGGAATTATTTAATGGTGATGGATACAAAACTTTATGAACTTTAAGAGTAAATTTCATGTAATGAGAACTACATTTGAATAAAGCTGTTGTCAAAATAAAACAAAAACTGTTACTTCTTCTTGCATTATATTTAAATGTCAAAATCATTTAAAATTGCCATTTACTCTTGTATTATCTTTTAAGAGAGTTTCCTTTGATGCCTCTACCTCCAGAACTTATATTTAAGATTTCTTAAATGAAAATACCAATGACAACTTTCATTTACTTCATAACTCATTCGTCTAAAGTTATACATAGCATCTTAGCTGGTGATTTTAAACATGCTTATTCATGGCATTATAAAGCAAACGTACCAACAAGGTGAAAAATAAAGTCATGAACTCAGAGCTAAACCTTGAGTGAATTCACTGTAGCAGCAAAAACAAGGACAAATTGGAATTCCAAAGGGAATTTCATGTGCTCATGAATTCTATATTCATCTTATATGCACAGCACCCAGAATTGCATCAATAAATCAAGTAAAACTCCCTCCTTTCTTTTATAAAACCAAGTGCAATGGTTCATAGATGCAAACTTACCCTATCAAGAGCTGCTTTCTCCAGTTCATTTTTGGCTACAGCCAATTTTTGCTCCAAATCAGTAAGCTGCTGGGCCTGGAAAATGAAAGGCAAATATTTCAGTAAATTCTGTAATTTCCCTCCATTACTTTAAGTATGTCTCAGTCATTGTCCATGAAAAAAAAAGTTTGTTACCGCATGGGAATAGGCTGCATAAGGTAGTGTTTTCTGAATGAATAGGTAATAAATGCTTCACTGGACCAATACGTTTAGTCAAGGAGCTCTGGTAGCGTAGTGGTTACGAATTGGGCTGTGAACCTTAAGGTCAGCAGTTCCAAACTACCAGCCACCCTGCGGAAGAAAGATGAGGCTTTCTACTCCCGTAAGGATTTATACCCTCAGAAACCCTGTACAGGGTCGCTATGGGTTGGAACCGACTTGACGGCACTTAACAACAACAACAGTTTAAAGTCACTGAAAATACTTTTGATTTGAATTTATCAGCTATGTCTCTAGTATTCATTCTTTTATTATTGAATTTTAGCTGGTACACTTTTACACCCTATCATATATATGTATGTGCATCTTTTAAAGCACCTAACTGCACTGTCAAAATTAAAGAGAAATCTCCTATAAGTAGAAAAACAAATATTCAAATATTTCCTTGCTATGTAATCTTGAGCACAACAGTTACATCAACAAGAAAGAACAATCATTTCCTACAATGTAGTCCCAGGGTTGAAATAAGGAATAGAAAGTCTTGGAAGTTTGGGAATCAGCTACATAAGACACTCTTACCACCTTCATTCATTCCATTATCATTTCATTAATTTGCTGGTTAACATGTCATCAGGATTGGAGGAAGACTCATTAACAACCTGCAATATGCAGATGATAAAACCTTGCTTTCTGAAAGTGAAGAGGACTTAAAACATTTACATCTCCATGTAAAGAAAACAAAAATCCTCACCACTGGACTAATAAACAATATTCTTATCAATGGATAAAAGATTGAAGTTGTCAAGGACTTCATTCTTCTTGGATCAACAATCAACACTCTCGGAAGCAACAGTCAAGAAATCAAACAACATATTGCATTGGGCAAATCTGCTGCACAAGACCTTTTGAAAGTGTTAAAGAGCAAAGATGTCAGCTTGAGGACTAAGGTGCACCTGACTCAAGCCATGGTATTTTCAATAAGCTCATATGCATGCGAAAGCTGGACAGTGAATAAGGAAGACCGTACAAGAATTGATGCTTCTGAGTTATGGTGTTGGGAGGAGAATATTGAAATTGCCATGGGCTTCCAGAAGAACCAGTAGATCCATTTTGGAAGAAGTACAGCCAGAGTGCTTCTTAGAGGCCAGGATGACCAAATTTTGTCTCTCATACTTTGGACATATTGTCAGGAGGGACCAGTCACTGGAGAAGGATATCATGTTTGGTAAGGTGGAGGGTCAGAGAAAAAGAGGAAGACCTCCAGTGAGATGGATTGGCCAAGTGGCAGCATCGATGGACTCAAGCATGACAACAGTAGTGAGGTTGGCCCAGGATCGGGCAGTGTTTTGTTCTGTGTCTAAGGTCACTATGAGTCGGTACTGACTCGATGGCACCTAACAACAACAACAGCAATAACAACATCACTATTCTCTATTATTCCAGGTAATATGCTAGGCTCTTTTTAAAAAAAAACAAAAAACGTATTTCACTTAAATACCTACAAATATATTCCTCAAGAGCAAGATAATCAAATATACTTGTTATCAGAATGAATTCAGCCATTTACCTTCCTAACAAGTACTTATGAGCTCATAATATATATCAAACATATTCTGTGGTGGTAAAATGGTTACCAAAAGAAATCCTTGTCCTCAAAGAGATTAAGATGATACCAAGAAAATAAAACTAGAAGACGGAATAGAGACTATGGGAAGGAGGTTATACTAACACTCTGTAACTCTTCATTTCCCTTCTTACTACATCCACATCCTTGGCCATGTAACTTTGCAATTCTTCCCTTCAAGAGGTAAAACATATTAAACTTTCTTCTTGATCCTGATTTTGTCTATGTAAATTAATTTGCTCAAGAGTATGCAAAAAAAACCCATGAAATTTGGGCTTGCTTTCTTTCTCTTTTGCCATCACCAGAAAAAAGAAATGCATGTGCTAAACTGCTGAAGCACAGCCTGCCTTAGTTAAGTTACTGTGTGTGAACCCAGTGGCGATCAGAGCCACTGAAGGAGAAGCAAGCTGGAGGTCATCAGAGCTATGCATGAGTCCAAGCATGCTTGCTGACTTAGCTGCCAAGCCACACATATTGTGATATGTTAAATAATTGTTGCATTCAGCCTTGGGTTTAGAACTGTTTGTTTCACAGTGAAAGTTAATTGATATTGATATGAGCCATCAAGGGAATGAATCTGAATATATAAATTTAAGCAGAGACCTAAATAATAAGATTAAGCATATCAGGAAAAACTGGGGGAGGTTTTAAGAGCCTAAATTAAAAATAATAAGCATTTTGTGAGCAAAATTAGTCTAGTGTATCTAGATTATTTTGAGCAAGAGGAAAGTGGTAGGGAAAGAAGATAAGGGAAAATTAAATAATGTAGTGCCTTATCTGCCATAATAAAGAGACTACTTTAAATCAATTTAATGATAGGAGAAAACTGCAAACTTTCAAAATTAAGTTCACACCTATAGATTCCATTTTGCAAGTGGACATGTTGTTTTCAGTAAAGAGATAAGATTATGTAAACACAAATTCTGTCTTTTTGATTCTGTATGTAACAGAATTTGCATTTCTGCAGTTGCAAATCACTTTTTCACAATTTAATTTCCTACTTTGGAGAAGCATCACAGAGGAGATGGGAGGAGATAAACTTTGGAGATAAACCATTGGGGTTTGAAGAGTGGCTCTTAGACTTTATTCTTTGTTATTGTTGTTAAGTATCATTGAGTCAATTCAGACTCATAGTGACCCATATAGGAATTCCAAGGAGCAGCTGGTGAGTTTGAACTGCCGACTTTGTGGTTCAAATGGACTTTGCGTTCTAGTGCTTTATTCCACAGAGTCACACAGCCATTACTCCATTTGCAACATCATGGTCAACTCTACTTTGAAAGAGTAATTCTTTATCAGCCATATTTTGAGTGTTTTCTAGCCAGAGGCGTTCATTTTCTGTCACTATATCTTACTCATAATGTTTTTATCTTCCAGCACTCTGACAATTTCCACTGCTTTCATAAAGTGACTGAAACCTGTTCACCATGGGTGATTGTGCTGGTATATAAAATACTGGCGGCATAGCTTTCAGCATCACAGCAACACACAAGCCACCATAGTACGACAAACTAACAGACAAGGGGTGGCTCAGTATTATTAAAAGCCTGCAATTAGTTAATAGTTAAAAAACATCTAAGTACAATACCAGGACAATTATTAGTATATAATTGTTTGTTAAGTAAAATGAGCATAATTTTTTTCGTTTAGTTGTGTTCTATTTTTTACATAAAATTTATACCACATCAAACGAGCCAATATAGCAGTCTGGGGAGCTTGTACTATGTGAAGAATAGATTATGAGAGGAATGGCAAATACCAAGTGGTTAAAAAAATGTCACTGAAAAATGCCATTATCTTTCAATTCTATTTTTTATGAATCTTTTAGAAGCTTCCTCATATGTCTTTAAGAGCTATGTAGCCATTAGTTCTCAGGATTTCAATTATTTGAATTATCTAGGAACTCAGCGAAGTCACGATAAACTAGTCAAGAGATCTTGTGAATAGAGTTCAAATATAGGGTATAGAAAAGCAGTCACTTAAACTCAAGACACTTCCCTATTGTGCTACTTTGGTTCTATACTTCAAAAGATCAGTGTCTGGATTAATTTACCAACATCCCTTGCCACTGACATTATGAGTCGTATTTAATGAGACAGAATTGGGTTTGATTTATTATTGCTGTCTAGTAGATCACAACTCATATTAACCCTAAGACAGACTAGAACTGTCTCAAAACTTTTCCAAGGCTGTACATTTTCATGGAGGTAGACTGCCGCATTGTTTTCCTGTGGAGTGCTAATAGATTAGAACTGTCAGTCCTTTGGTTGATAGATGAGTGCTTAATCACTGCGTTGGTGATTGTCAAGTGCTATTCAATTGATTCCAACTCATAGCAAACCTGTAAAGGCTTTCTGAGAAATGGCTTGTGGGTTTGAAGTGCTGGCATTGCCATTATCAGTCCAGTGCTTATCCTACAGTGCCACACCAGGACTCTAATTCATGCACAGTGGGCATGAAATTAGATACCAGAAGAGTATATTTGTAGGAGTTAAGCCATCACAAGATCCATGCAAGATGGTAACTTACTAGGCAGTGAATCTTCTTTTAGGTCAATGAATTTAAATTGAGGAAGTGCAAAGCCTTATCAAATAAAGTGCCAGATTACTTGAGAGGATTTAGGCTTGATTCTAGAATAGCTTTCCACTACTTCCAATCATTGAATAAATATTCATGAGGTACTAGATTTCTCAGCCTATGAAATATCACCTAAGAATATAAAGTTGAAAATACACATTGCCCTGCCCTTAGGGTACTTATAGTACAAAGAAGGAAAAACAAATATGTAAAGTTAAAAACACGATATTAAGAGGCAAACTGCTGAACTGGAGGTGTGTATAAGCAGCATCCGAAACAACAGGATTCCTGTTTACCTAGGTGGAAGATTTTTTCCACCTAGGTAAAGTAACACCAAAAACTTTAATATTTGATTTCTCACATATGAGCATTTTTTTTTCACTTGCGTTTCATAACATGTTTGAATGGTAAAGCCCATATTATAATTCTTAATTTATTGTATTAAAAAATTATAGAGCTTCTGAGATCCGAGGGTTCAAAAACCATGAAATGGCAGAAACTATTTCACTCTGCGTCCAGAGCTCCTGATTCTGCTTGGTTCTGTCTTTCTCAGGAAGATGCCTTAAATTCAGTAAGATTATGAAGAATGGCAAGGAGCTCTTGTACTATAGTAGATTACAAGCTTGGCCTCTAACTGCAAGGTTAGCAATCTGAATCTACCAGCTACTCAGTGGGA